ACCTAAAAAAGCAGCACCTAAAAAGGCTTCTAAGAAGTAAATGGACATTTAACACGTGAAAAAAAAAACGGCCCTTCTCAGGGCCATGAAATTAATTACTAAAAACACCACTTCTGCGAGGATTTCGAAACTAATTACTTCTCTTAAACTAAACTTAGCTTTTTTTAAAATTCCCCCAATAAGAAATACCTTAGCACACACAACTCAGAAAGTATTCATTTATCGATAACATTATATCACTCTAACATGATAAGATGTAAACACTTCATAGTTATGTAAAGATACTAATGCGGAACAGAATGAGAAATGTCATTTCAGATACTGTCACCCTTTTTTTGAACTGACCACCCATGACGTCATAAATTAAGTTGTGTAAATGAGCGAGTAAACAACATATTCCAGGGAGAACCCGCCCCCCCGCAGGGGGGCTACCTCCAATCATGATAAAAATAGAGTCCCTGGCGGTCCATAGTTTGCCGTGATGCATTAGTAAATGAACGAGATTGGTCAAACCACCTCTTGACCTCATCGAATCGTGGGGTTTGTTTATGTTTCTGACACGTGGCCGTGCACGTGATTTCCACGTGGTACTCAGAAATTTATAGCCAAGCTGACGTTGACACGTGGTCGTGTTTACCAACAATCCAACATGTTGTTTTTCCATACACACATGGACAGTGCACCATTATCATCTGTTTTAGTATTTGGGGTTCGTTTCTAACTATTTCAAGACAGACTACAGTGAGGATGAGTTCATTACTGCTTCGTTATACTGCAAATGAGACGGGAGGAATGAGAAATTAAACAGATGAGAGATTTCAAGAAATTGTTTTATTTTATATAATTATAATTTGTTCTTTTAATTAAAATTGCTACTGTCAACTTTTCTTTGGAGTCAAATAATGGATTCTGATTGGGGGGGGGGGGTAATTGACGTGGAAATGTGCCATATTGTTCGAAACAGTATTAAAATAGGTATTATTTATGGAAACGATAAATTGAGTATTTGGCATAATTTAATGATATTTACAGTAATTATGCAACTGAAAGTTTTTATTTAAAACATTTAGTGCTCAGGTGAACGTTCCCTCGTAAGTAAGAAGCTAGGTCATTTAGAAAACAGAAATCCTGCATCAGCATCCCACTCTCCAAACTTCCTTTTCACCCAACGGTGTATAACAATCTGTATTCATATTTTTCTGTCAGTTATTGGTGTAATATGGTGCACAGTGCTTTTTTAATGTGTTTTCGAATCTTATTTTTAAATTTTAATGCCTATTTCACTTAAAAGATTCTCTTTTATGTGAGTTAAAAAATTATTATTTTAAATCAGAATAGAATGAAATTTGCTTCGCCTTTATTCATAAATGTGTTTATTATTCGTGTGAAATTAGAAACATTTCAGGGTTTCTTTACAATGGAATTTGTAATTACCTATGTAACTACCTCCCTCCCCACTTAGATTAAGTGTAATAATAACATCTGAAATTATTAGTTTATGTGTTATTATGTCTTTTTGAATAAAATTTAATTAATTGTTAAGAAGGAGTACATAAATACATTTATCATTCTGTTGTCACTTATTAAAGAGAAAACATAACTATGAATGTGGACACATCAAATGTCAATGTATTGAGTTTTTAAAAATAATTTTACTACTGTCGTTGCAACTGATTTTGCATTCATTGACATGGTTATGTGTTATTTTTAATACCTTCGCAAAGAAAACAGTGTTCGACAACATGTGTTGGCCCTGAAAAGGGCCTTTTTTTTTGTGCAAGGGATTTTTTTCTTAACCTCCAAAACCGTACAAAGTACGTCCCTGCCTCTTCAAAGCATAAACAACGTCCATAGCGGTGACGGTTTTCCTCTTAGCATGCTCAGTGTAAGTGACAGCATCTCGGATAACGTTTTCCAAGAAAACTTTTAGGACACCTCGAGTCTCTTCGTAGATCAAGCCAGAAATACGTTTGACTCCACCACGTCTAGCTAAACGCCTGATTGCGGGTTTGGTAATACCCTGGATGTTATCACGAAGAACTTTACGATGCCTTTTAGCACCTCCTTTACCAAGACCCTTGCCTCCTTTACCACGACCAGACATGACTGCTTAATGTAGTGAAAATAGCGATTCTGCCATATCGCCGCTCTGTAATATGGTTGACGGGAGTACCCGCCCCCGCAGGGGGCTACCTCCTATAGTAACAGCATAGATGAACGCTTGACTGTCAATAAATGCCGTGAACTGGAGTGTCTCCTGTTCTGCAGTAGAATGGAAAAAGTCCGTGCGTGGAGGGGAGGCGAAGCCATCGTCTTATATAGCTGGTCGCTGCAACCAATCAGAGAAGGGTAGAGATGTGTAGGGAGAGGTGGTGGGATGCACTGGGCGGAGCTAGTGTTTGAAGATTTTTAGAAGTAAGCTGACAATCTCCATGTCGGTTTTGGCGATCTTAATTTTTTCGCTAATTTCGATAAGGTTGGGAAATCTGCTAAAAGCATCATTAATGATTTTGAGGGCATTCATTTTCCTCTCAAACTCTTCTAAAGTTTTATTTTCAATCTGCGGGGAGGGTTTACTAATGTTAGGCGTGGGAGGATTATTGGCTTTCGGAAGATTCGATTTCAATTTCTGTGCGTAGGTAGGGGGAGTGCTGTTTTTGATAATTGGGTATTTAGGGCAGCCTTTCCAGGAGGCCAAGTGACCGTTTTCTTTGCAATTTATGCAGACAGGGTTTTCAATTTTAGTTTTAATACTGCACATTCTAGTTTCGTGGGCCCCGTTGCATTTAATGCAGCGGGGTTTGCATTTACAGTTCCTGGCACTGTGAAAAAAGTCAGAACATTTGAAACACATGGTAGCACGCTGCTTTTTCCTATAGTGCTCAATTTTCACGTTAAAGTTATTAATTTTTTCAACTTGAAAGATGTTATTTGCATTGGGAGTTTTAGCTAGCTCAACTAAAAAGATGGGCAGAAGGGTTTTTAGTCGGAAGTTACGGAGCTGGTTTATTCTGATTACTTTAAAATTATTTTCTTCTAGGTCTTTAGCTATGCTCTCTTTGCTGTGATCAGGGGGTAGGTTTTTGATAACTATTTTTATCGGTCTGCTTTCTGGGGGCTCAGAGAGGACGTATTCTTTCTCATTTTTATCAAGGGTTTCGATGATTTTATCCCTATCCTCGAGGGAGTGGGGAGAAATCCTAATATAGCCACGGTGATATCTGCATATGGTTTCTGGAAAATTTCTGGCTATTTCCTGAACTGTCAGGTTGTAATCGTCAGTTAATTTTAGGTTAATGTCAGGGACGGAGATTTTAGTTGGAGTATCTTCGACGTTAACATTTTCAGACATATCCATAAGATTTTCGAAACGATTATTTGTTTTAATGGGGGAATGAGATTTTTCTAGCTGAATCCTAGCTGCTTTTTTAGGAGGAACCAGTTTGAACTCTTCTAGTGCGGTTAGACTGATAGGAGAAAGGGTAGGAGATTTAGGGAGAGGATACTGACCAGCTTCAGTCATTTCAGAGTCCTCGGTTGTCTCATGATGCTTGGTGCAGCTTAAGTTAGGACAAGGCCCTAATCTTCTCATTTGATCTTCAGCTGACTCAATGTTCGCAAGATATTTTCTGTAATCTGTATCTGGACTGAACTTGCTAGGATTTCCTAGGTAGTCCTTCAAAATTTTTCGGTGATTTTCAGCTGCAGTTTGTGAATTATCAATAATGCTTTCAAGTACGGTGAGTTGTTGGCAAGCGTCAAGCTTGTTAGTTGCTGTAGATGCGAGTTCACGGACCCAATTGACCGTGCGGTCTCTGGACGTCTCGGAGTCATATCCGTAGCGCGAGGAGCTGGGCTCTGCGCTAATAGTACTAATGCTGCTCTGAGAGCTCCTTGAGCGACCTCTCTCTGCCATGGCTGTGCCATAGGTCAGAATATATCCGCGCGTTCCTAACTTTCGATTTTCTAAATTTCACGCCCCGGCTCAAAAGACAGGATTGGTTGGTTTCGGTTACGAACGACTATAAAGCAAAGCGCGCTTTTCGCCCGACATTTCATTTTCCTCGTATCGAACATGCCTCCCCAAACCTCTGGTAAAGCTGTGAAAAAGGCCGGTAAGACAAAAACCTCCGTGCTGTGATAAGAAAAAAGGAAGAAGCGCAGGAAGGAATCTTTCGCTATTTACATCTACAAGTCAAAACAGGTCCACCCCGATACTGGAATTTCAAGCAAAGCCATGTCTATCATGAATTCTTTCGTGAACGACATTTTCGAGCGCATTCAGCCAGATCTTCCCGATTAGCTCACTACAACAAAAGAGCACAATCACCAGTCGGAAATCCAAACAGCTGTAGGCTTTTTGTTGCCTGGCGAATTGGCCAAACACGCTGTATCTGAAGGAACCAAGGCAGTCACTAAGTACACTAGCTCAAGTAAACAGTTGAAATCCCTTGGAAAAAAAAAAAGGTCTACAGGGCCAACACATGTTGTCAGATATTTGTATTGTTTGTACATACAATATCATAATATTAAAACAGATGATTGTTGGCTAGAGTGTCTGTAAACAATAAATTTCTTTTCAAGTAACTGTGGGTTAAAACAATGATGTTTCATGAATAACAACTATTTAAATGTTTCAAACTTGTGTAGAAAATAATTTTAAAAAAAATGAACTGTATATTTCTTACTTACTGTGTCTGTAGACTTTCAATTGGAAGTTACTATTTTCTTTCAATTCTGTAAAACAAGAATTTTGAGTCAAAAGCATTTATAATATGAATATTAACTGAATAATTTTATATATGAATTTTAACTGAAATCAAAATTAGCAGTTGATTGCACTTAGGAGTGAATATTTAAAGGAATAAACTGTTTCTATTAGGAAAACAATAGAATTTATAAAAAAAGAAATCATGATTAAAAAAAATCATATTAGTACACACATATGGATCATATTTTAAAATATCAATTTTTTAGAAGTGGAAAAATTTAAAAGATGCCAACAGCACGCGGTTCCCAGGTGGTCACCTCCCAAGTACTGACCCGCCTGATGCTTATGCTCGTGATCAGACGAGAACCGGTGCTTTCAGCATGGTATGGCCGTTGCAGTAACACAGAACAAAGTCAAGTTCAGATTCGATTCCCTTAACTTCATTCACTTCCTAAATATTTCATATACTCTCTGTTATTTTTTATTCAACTTCATTATTGCATTATTTCTTCTCGGCTACCGCCCGCAGAGCTCAGGAGCAGAAACAGAATTGCTTCCTGGAAAAAAGGACAAACATCACTCTCAATTCAACCACTGCCCTGATTCAGTAATTAAACACTCAAGCATCACTCATCACTCATTCATCAAACAAGTCTCCACTCTTTAAAAAAAAAAAAAAAAAAAACCATCTTCTTCTTACTTCATCACTCATTAACACAAGAAAAATAGCCCTCTCTCATTATTATTTCCTCTATTATTTCTACTAGTTCAATCGCACTCTAGCCATTTTAAAATGAAATTAAAAGTTTCAAAGAATCTGAAACCAGAAACTAAAATAGGTCATCAAAGGGTTGTGTTTACTAACCATGTTTACGTTGTTTGTTTGTTTACTAGTTTCTTTTGTTGACAAATTTAAACACGTGCAAGACGAGATTTGAGGCAGAAATCGACGATTTGGAAGGAAGGCGTTCAAGTCACTTTATCTGCTCTCATTGGCTGAATCGGGTTTCATTTCCACTTAAAGTTCTCCGATTTCGAAATTTTTATTTCACTCTGATCTGTAATCATGTCTGGTCGTGAAGGCGGTAAAGTTAAGGAAAGAGCAAGACTCGTTCCAGCCGAGCAGCTTCAATTCCCTGTCGGACGTATCCATCGTCTTCTCCGAAAGACATGCTGCGAGCGATGTGGAGCTGGAGCACCCAGTTTACTTAGCTGCCGTGTTAGAATGCGCTGCTGAAGTGTTGAGTTGGCCGTAACCGAGACAACAAGAAAACTAGGATCATTCCTAGACATCTCCAACTCGCCATCCAGAACGACGAGAGTTGAATCCCTTTCCAGGTCACTATTGCTCAGGGTGGTGTATTGCCTTGGGCAGGTGGGAGCAATACCGAGGATAGAGGAGCCGGGTTCGGTGCGCGGAGGATTTTGAGGGGCCGACAGTTGACTGTGTTGAGCAGGTGGCATTTGCAGGTGGATGTTTGAGGTGTTGGCTGGATCAAGGGCGTTTGAGGTTGGATAGTGTTTTGGTTTCTTGGCTAAAACTGATTGTTTGGTTTTGGGTTAACAGGGTTGTTTGCAGGTGGGGTTTGATGTAGTGATGATCAGGGGACGTTCTGCAGCGCGAACGTGCTGTGGCGCTGGCTGTTGCGTTTGGTTATGCTGGTTGGCGGGCGCTACCGGTTCGCCATGGCACCTACCTGCGGGTTTTGGTTTTGGTTCTGCGGACGGCGCTGCGGCGTTCATCGTTATACCTTCCTTTGCTGGCGTTGCTACTACCTGTGCGTTATACTGCCGTACGCTGGCATACTGCGCGGGTTCTGCCCTGCTGCGGGATGCATACCTTTGGTGCCGTTGGCCTGCAGGCCTGTTGGTTCGACCTACTTCTGCGGCGCCGTTTTGCTGTGCTGCTCGCGCATACCATACCGGTTCGCCTGGCGTTGTTCTGCCATAGCTGCCGTTGTGCGGTTTGACCGCTGGTGCTGCTGTTTCGGCGGTATAGCGCGGTTGTTGCGTTACCATTTTATTTCTGGTGCCGCCATATTTCTCGCGATTATCGGTTCGCGACCGTGGCGCGCCTGCTGGATTCGCCATTGCCGCTGGCTGCAGCAAACAACTGTTGCCGCTAAAGGCATGGCCGCGCGGCAGTTCTTTGGTTGTATGGTGGGTTCGTTGCTACGCTGTGCCATTTGCTGCGTATGCCATTG